CACTGGGGAATCCCAGACATTTACTCCTCAGAGATAGAGGAAAAGGGGGAGTGTGTGTGTGTGTATGTGTTAATTAGACATTTACACTGAAGTAAATTACATCTGTCACATGATAAGCCTCAGAAACTGCTTATTTTTAAACTGAGGTATATAAAATCATCTGTGGAAACTATGCACATGATATTAAACACTCCATTGGGAAATGCATGTAGATATATTTTTCTTTGTTGACAAAGTCAGCCTTTACTTTTTGGAGTTAGTAAATGAGAATGATTGTGAAACAAACTGGGGAGAAAAGCACTTTTTGTTATGAACCAGCTCCTCCATAAGAAGGTAACAAACTTGAGCTGCTGAATAATTATAATGCTAGAGATCTCTAAATTTTCTTGGTGTCTTTGATTGTTTTATAGACTGTAATATGCACTGAAAGTGGTTTATTTCTTTGCCCTAAAATAATTTTTAATACATTCTCTGTTCATACTGAGAACTTTATGTTTAAATGTGGAGAGACATGTATTTAAATGTAATTTGTTTATAATGTAGATTCCAACTAGTGCTCTGCAGCAGCTGGGTGGCCCTGGAGAAGTTTACCTTGATACTGCTGTGTCAAACAGAATGCTTCTAGGAGACCTGTGTATATTTTAGGTAGCAAGTTATTAATTTTGATTTCTTCAAATTATTTGAGATACTGGTTTAATTATGAGGATAATTCAATAAATTCAGAGTATGGCTATTCAAGAGAGCATGCTACTGTCAAATGAACATGTGTCACTCTCCAGGATACATGAGAGCTAACACAATCTATGTAATTTGGGTATGTACTGGCTCTGATTCAGTGCAGTCCTTCTAAACTGCGTTGTCTGCAAGGCAAATATTGACTATTTTTGTTGCGTTCACATCCAAAACTTTGGGTTATGGGTATATTTGTCTTCTGGAGTATGATGCCAAGCCCTAGCACCAGAACTGACTTATAAATCCTCCTGAAATATTGAAATGTAGAAGGATCTCCAAACCCAATTGCTGCTACTGTTATCACCTCTTACTGCACTCTGCACCCTGAGAGCTGCTGCAGCCTGGAGTGGTGCGTGAAACCAGTCCAGGCCGAAAATGGCTGGCAAGTCATCCCCAATGGACTCCTTGCTTTATTTGCTGGTTTGCTGGAAAGATGGTGAAGAAACATGAAGCTGTTCCTGTGTAAAGATGTGGCAGGATCTGCTGATATAAGTGCCTTGCTGTGAAGGTGGCTCCTGGACCTAAACTAGTTTTGTACCTTGTGGCCACTTCTGTGCTGTTTGCTTGTGAAAGAATAAGCTTGTGGTTGTGTAATAAGATAATTGTTGTACTTCAGATTATTTCCAGTTGACTTAGTATCTTAATCCAAAAATAGTTACACCATTTAATAGTATTTATTCGAATGTTGTTCTGCTAAGACTCCTTGTTGAATCCAGAGTTTTATTATTAGTAGCTTATTTCTCATAGATACAGGAGTGTGATGAGCTGGTCAGCTGTTTTGAGTGGTTTGGATTTCCAAAAGTGACTGTATTTAGTCTTAGTTCTTTAATTAGATTGAGGTTCTATAAAATGAAGATTCAGTAGGTTTTGGTTTTGTTGTTTTTGGAATATAATCAGCCTTTATGTACTAGAGTACCTAAAGTAAAAAACTTTTACAGAAATTTAATGATTTTTGCACACAGTCTTTCCATGATTTCCAGTCATTTGTATTCTCTAACACAGCAAGTCCTTGGTAGCTGCTTGAGACTTCTCTCTTGAGGCCCAGGTAGCCCAATATGATTAAAAACTGCAGTATAAACCATTAAGCACTTAGTTTCAACTGTTTTCCAGCCTTTGTTGTTATCCATTCATGCTTGAGATGGCAGGGTCAATTCAGATATTTATGAAGGAATTGCATTTTTCAAGAATCTCCTGGGACTTGCTTCTTTGTTTTTGTTGACATTGGGTTTTTTTGTGACCTAAAACGGAAAAGGGATAAATCACACCTCTGAGATTTCAGCTGTTAGGGACAGGTTTTGAATACCTAGGATTGTGTGATTTAAGTCAAGTACTTAAGCAATCCTTGAATTTGAAAATCAATATATTTGAAATTTGTGGTGGTTGAGGAAGGGGAGTTGCTGGATTCTTAGTACTGTCTAGGAAGATTGCATTATAAGTTAGCTTCTGCAGAGGTAAAGGTTTAGTGAATTACTGTGTGAAGTAATTGGTAGTAGGCTGAAAGTTTCAGTTGTCAGGTAGACTCAAATGATGGCTTTTGTTATGTTTGCTAGTAATTACATTTGTACTATACAAAAAAATCTATGATAAATTTGTGTTACAATATTTGGGATATTCTTCATGAACTGCAGTGCAATGTCAAAGGAATCTAAATGCTAATGGGGAATTGTCATTATGAATTACTAAGTAGCAGATTTCCAGTTTGTGTACTGGTTTGCTCACAATAAAAATAGATATGAACTCAAAAGTAGATATGAGAAGCCCCTTAGATGGGGCTGGATCCTGAAAATCCTCCCAGCTGTCACTGGATCCTGAAAATCTGGAGGTTTTAAACTAGTGGAGGTGGAATGGAGACCTCTTTTTTTAGGAGCTTTGCCTGGTGTGTTCAAGGCTGAAGTGGCACTGAACTAGAGAAGGCACCAACAACTTGCAGTAAGGTGAGCGAGGAGAAATGGATTTACCAGGGTAATGTGGGAAAGGAAGAGTTGAAACTCCAGAGAGTTGAATAGCAACAAAACATTTCAGAAAGGAGTGGGGGAATACTGGGGAAAAGTGCACAAGACTGTTTACATGTATAAAACCAATTGGTTTGCAATATCTTCTCTGGCTGCTTTTGGTACTAGTGGGACTCTATTGGTGTCTTAGTGCAGGAAGTGGGTGGGTGTGGAGTTTTCATCTTGATACCTAGAAATAGCTAACAATCTTTAGTTCTTTTCTATAAGGAAGCTTTTGGTTTTGTAAAATATACATTCTTAATTAAGCTTAAGCTTGAATGACTTTGTTTAGAACTGTACACCACATTGGGATTCAGAATAACTTTAGGCATATAAACTGATCATTCAGATAAAGCTGCTGTTTCTTCAGCGTAGTGCTGAAGGAAGGAGACACAGACTAATCTTGATAGCATTTGATCAAAATAGATTACTTAGTTGCTAAGATGTGTGTACTAGAAAGCACAAAAACCTGCTGCATGATTGTCTGTGCTACTGCTCTAAGATTTTTTTTCTGGTTTTGCTCTGTTTAAATTGTGACACCAATGCTGTAGTGATAAAACAAAACAGTTGAGATGTTATTGAAGCAATAGTTGAAATGTGTGGTGATTCCAGGAGGTTATGTGGTTATATACTTGAGAATATAGCAAATTCAGAAGCTATTTAAGAGATGCCTCCAGAAAGAAACACAGAATTAGGTGGCAAGTTAATATGCTTCTTGTTGGTAGGGTTAACATTTCCCAAGCTCAGAAAAGGTCAATAAAACTGAAGAAAAAATGAAAATGCTTAAGTGGCTCTCTTCCTTTTTATACATTTCTTATATTTAACTGCTACTTATTTCTCATTGTATTGTTCAAAATGTTGTCTTGCTGCTGCCTGTCAGTGTTTGCAGATTTTTTTTTTTTTATTTTTCTGGCCTTATTTCTTCTGAGTCAGCCAATAGTGTATCCAGACTATGTAACTTCTAACTCGTTTGACACACTTGACAGCCTTCAAACTAATTGCAAATAAAATTCCTTTTCACAAATAACAAAATTTCCTGATAAAAACCAAAAATACTGTGCAGAATTACAGAATATGCTGAGTTGGAAGGGACCCACAAGGATTATGGAGTCCAGCTCTTAAGTGAATGATCCATACAGGGACCAAAACCACAAGCTTGGTGTTATTTATACCATGCTTTGGCCAACTGAACTCATCTCAGGATTTTGTATTTCTCAAATGTTAATACTATTTTTCTAAAAGAGCACTGATTTTAGACAATATATCTTCAGTTTCAAATGCTGAAGATATCAAATAGTTTTAAAAATGGGTAAGCACTGGAAATGTCAAATTGTCATTCTAAATAAGTCTTACTGACAGCTAAGAATCTTACACAGTTTAAACAATGGCATGCTTTCTTAAATACATACTGAAAGGGAGCTTACAAAAAGCAGAATGAGGAAAAACTGGTTGTTTAGTTTCATGGTTATATCTGTATCTTACTTGAAAGAAAAGTATTCTGAACTCTGAAAACATGTTAAAGACCAATCTAATTAAACTTCTTAAACTTAAAGATAAGCATTCTTGTGAGATATAAGAAGACTTCTAACTCCAAACCTAGCTGTTTTATTATTCTTGGTAAAATGTTGCAGATGTTTGTCCATTTTTTGTTTGGCTAAAAAATATTTGGCAAATGCATATAAATGAGGATACAATGGATTAGAAATCAAACGTGAGCCTGCTTAAATAATTCTCAAGATTTTCTGGTTCACGTGTAGTGATATTGAACTCTTTAGTCATAGGCTTTAATTTGTGCATGGTGCTGACCTGATGCTGTGCAGGGACACTCATTGCATCCCTTCATTCAATTCACTCTAATTATCCCCAACTTCCTGGGGAGCCTGCTTAGAACTGGTCATGAATGTTTGTTATTAAGTATTAAGATATTAAACTACCCTAGTTACAAGTAACAAAGTAGTTTTTAGTCTGAATTTACATATAGATCATCAGTATAGGAAGGTGAAATTATATTTGTCTTGATTTTATTTAATCAAATTCAAAATAATGGATTAAAACAATAAAACATTTTGGAAGTGACTTAAGCTCAGAGCTAAATGAAATGAGATTTACTGTGCAAGTACTTGTACGTATGCCAGTGTTGGTAATTTCAGTGTGTATTTTAGAGTGGCTATGGTATGTAAATGATCTTTGACACAATCAGATTTGTGTGCATGTGACTGGGTGATGTTAATTATTTTTGCTGGGAGCATCTGTTAATGCAGACTATTGCCTCTTCAGGTTCACGTGAAAATGGCGGATGAAGCTGTCTGTGTTGGCCCAGCTCCCACCAGCAAAAGCTACCTCAACATGGATGCCATCATGGAAGTCATTAGGAAAACCAGGGCCCAAGCTGTGAGTCTGAATGTGTCTATCTGCTGCAGCTGTTTCATATATAGAAAGCAGAAAAGCCAGAGTTTGTATTTTTTTTTTAAAGGTGTGTGGGGGGGAAGTGATTGAATATGCTATTCCAGTTAGTTCATGTCACATGAGTTAAATGTGTCTGAAATCGCTACTGGAAATCAAAGGCTTTGTAGCATCTGGCAGCACTGGTCGCTGATCCTGCAGGTGGCTGCTGGATTCAGCTTTCACACCAGGGAGCAGCTTCAGTTCATTTCCAAATTTGCTGGGGGAAAAAAAAAAATCCCAATTAGTTTTGAGTGCTAACCCTTTATATGCCATAATGCCTTTTTTGAACGTTTTACAAAGTGTATCCAGAAAGGCTTTTGCTTAAACTTCATTTGAATCACTTTGTATATTGTATAAATGTTACTTGCAGGAAGGTAAATGGTGCATCCTGTAATTGCTTTTGTTTCAGAAGGTTTACAAAATGCACATTAGCTTATTTATGTGAATGTGGGCAAGTCTGCCTGTTTTCCCTCCAAGTTGGCCAGAGATTCAAAGCTTAACAGGAATCAGTAGGAAAAACTAATATGTAGTCATGTTCACATTCCTAATGTTCTTTGTTCTGTCACTGAAATGAATGCATTATTCAGAGCTACTGTACACAGAGCATTTATTAAAATGAAATTTGATGTGTATCTATCAGCAACACTAACTACCCTTGAACAGTTGGATCAGCACTGTGATTTCTTTCTAACATGATGTTTTGGTACAGTGCCTTTAGGGGCCAGAAACAAAACCAGTATTTTCTCCCCTTTGAGTTTCTGAATGTGAAACCCAGTTACTGGTTCTTTAAAAGAGGTGAATAAAATGGCTTATGCTTTGTCTGTTAGAGTATATTAGATCAAGAATCTTACATGACTTTTAAAAAGTAAAATGAAAACTTTCTCATGCTCCTCTCAAGTCATTAGGCTGAATGAATATTGGGGTGTGAGTAGCAAACGAGGCACACAGGATGCTTGACTTAGACTAATGAAGAGAATATATTGTGCTCTCTAGTCAGGATCACTAGAGGTAGGGAGCTTATGACTGGGACCTGTGCACCATTGTTGTGGTTAAGGCTGAAAATATTTTGGGATACAGAGTACTTTATAGTGGTTACTGAGGAGAGTGTGGATGAGCATATTTGGGGAAATCTGCAATGGAGCTAAAAAGAGCAAAAGGCAAATCACCAAAGGCTATGTCCATTTGCTCTGCAAACAGCTCCATTTGTTCTGCAAGCAACCCTGTTCTCTCTAGTTAAATAAGGAAAGTTTGTTTCAGAAATAATAGCTCAACAACTTGAGTTAGGACAGAAAAATCAATGTGTTAAGAGTTTCTTAAGGTATTCAACCTGTTTAATTGCTTAATGGTCTAGTTTACCATCCCCAGTATCTGAAAATGTGCTAGTGACTTTGGTGTGTGGTTTCAGAACTCAATCAGCTTGATTTTTTTTCTTTTATCTTCCAAGGTACACCCAGGATATGGATTTCTTTCAGAAAATAAAGAATTTGCTAGACGTTTGGTAAGTTATTTTTATTTGCTTGGCTGTGACTGATGGCACATACTTGTTTCAAGGCACCTAAGGAATCAAGCTATCAACTCAAAATCTAAAAGATACTTTAACATAGGGGATTTCAGTATGCTTTCTGTACATGTGAATTCTTTGAATTTTGAGGATGTAATTGCAGGCTGAGTTTTCTTTTGGGAGAATCTGTTTGTAAGAACTTTACCCAGGATGTAAAAACCTTTCAGGATTTTCACTTATGCCTGGACTGTTTATGAGGCTGCTCTGCAAAACTGGGTCACTGAAATGATCTAGGTTAAAAGTAGCTGGTTTTAAGTGATCATCTTGGTGATTTGTAGCACAGCTGGTGAACAGCTGTATCAGCAGCCCTGAGAAGGTGCTGAAGTGCACTTTGGGATGGGAATAGAAAGCTGTTTAAAAATTGCCTTCTCTGCTGGTGATTTTGTATCATGGAGCTGCATTCTCTGAAAGGACCAAAGAGTCAAGAGGGTGCTGTTTTCACTTTGTCTGAATTTATAAAAATTATTGTTCAAAACCTCTTTACTTCAGTAAGGTTTTTGTATATCGTGAACTGATTATATGGTCTGATTTTATTTTTTTCCAAAAGCTTTCATGCAGCTGCTTAAAAGTGGGCAGTGCTAGGAGGAAGTTGCATTCACAATGTTTGAACAAAGTCCTGGGTGGATCCTGTATGTGTAGTCACTACAGATCATGTGTTATTGTCTACTGATTTTGCTCAGAATAAGGACAAGCACATTGAAGTTCGAAGTAAAAAGCCGTTGCAGCTACTAACTTTGTTATGGAGTAAATGAACCATGTAGCTGAAGAAATACCTTGTTTTACAGGCAGCAAGAGAAATTTGTTTCTGCTTTTGAGAAAAATCTGCACCTTTTTGATTCAAGATAAAAAACTTAGATGAAGAATGTGATTCTTGAATGGTGGTTCTTTTTGTCCTTAGCATTTGTGAAACAGGTCTTCCTTGTACCTTCCTTGACTATTTCCTTTAGGTTTGAGTTCTAGTTGTAATACAGACCCTTACTATTGAGTTGATTATTTGGTGTTAGAGGATACCACCTGCTCATTAAGGAGATTATTTGAGAATGAAATCTAAAAATTTCATACTTCAGTTGCTGTAATTTTTTTTTTTTCAAAGCTCCTAGACAAAAACAAGTGCAGGTTCTGTGGGATGCTGAGTACACCCTGCTGGGTGCTGGTGATGTTAAAGTTGAAAGGAATTTTAAACACTTGGTGTTTGCCAGGATTTACCAAATCTGGGGTAATCTTTTACATATTATTTTCATGCAGTTTAGCAGCTTTCTTTTATCACTGTTCTGCTTCGTGTACTAGAGGTTCTTTTTCCAGGGAAGATTCCTGGCTTAATTTATGACAAACTCTGTTCTCAATGGATTCGACCAGGATAACTGACTTTAGTTGGCAGTTCTGGTTTTTCAGTAACAAAAAAAATTAATGAAATGGAAATGTTCACTTATGCTATTTTGCTTTGTTTTGCTGCTGAATATGGAAATTTGGTAGTTATTACTCTGAACCAGGCACATTCTACAGTGGTGTGGTTGTTATTAACAATAAATATAAATAGTGTGGTAATGTTAGTTACAATATTGGTGATGTGAAATGGGAGCAATTTTTTTGGCAGGATTAAGCAGAAATGGGGAAAGTACAAACATTCCTGTAGATCTTCTCCACCCTTCTATTTTTCTCATCTTTTCACTCAGATCCTAGGAAAGTTTCTTAACAATTTACTGAAATAATGTGGTGACTAAAAACATGTTTGAATTTTTGGTTGGTGCTGCAATCTCAAAATAGCTTTAATTATGTTTCAGAAACCCGGTGTGTTCAGTTCTCTAAAAATATAATAAAACAAGGTAATGTGATTTTGCTTTCTGAAATGCACTATTTAAAGTCTCAATTAAGACATAATCATGCTTCCCTTGATGTCAGTGGCTCTAGAAGATCAAACCCCTGGTGAGAACTAGTGAAATGATCTATCTTTTTATCCCTAGGGCTGCTTATATTTTTTTCAAGACACTCTGATTAATATAGTTAGGAGGAAAACTTGCCTGCTGTTTCTTCCCTTTATTGAAGACTGTAACTGTTATGTTGTTAAACTGTTATGAAGTTGCAGAAGATGTTTTTGTTCCGTTTTCTTTCTCCCTATCCCGTTCTTTGTATATACACTATTTTGTTCTTTTGCACTGAAAGTAGTGATGGAACTTATGAAACTCGGGCTTATTTCCTGGTACACATCTGTACTTTTAAAACAAACTTCTTAAACTGGGAAACTGAGAAGGACAAGAAACTTTCTAAACTTGCCAGTCTATCTGTAAGAACACTAATGAGCTCAAAGCAAAGCTTTGTCTTCAATTAACGCATGGAGGGTCAGTTCACATGTAATCCCACTGTGTGTGATTTGAACAAAAGCGTGTCTTTTTGTTCATTATTGTCTGAATGACTCATGGAGTAGGATACAGCTGTAGACAGTATTTTTGAAGAATTTGGTAGATACTTAGAGTATTGAAAGTTGCTGGTCGTTATTTTTTTTCTTCATCACAAACCTAATTTTGTTCTCTCTTAAAATGGGCAAGGGAGGCACAATAAACGATCCTTTGTTTCCAAAACAAAATTTCCAAAAAACAATCAGTGGGTGAATATCTGGCATGTTGTTCACTGTGATTCAGTAAACAAATTGGTGCATTCAGTCCTGTCTTTGTGTATCTACTCTGGTTGCTGTAGTTGGCTGACAGAAAAAGATCCATAGTATTTATACTGAGTGAGTCTGTCAAAGGTTTTAGAAATACTAAGGTCAATTTCTTAAAGGTTGGTATTTGAACATGGAATCTTTGGATGATTTTATGATAATGCTGATAACACTATGTAGAATAACAAAATATGGATTTATGTAAGTGGGTGTATTTTCTTTAGAATCAGCAAATAAATTGGTACTTTTAGTTTATGCATTCAAATATATTTTCATGTAAGTAATTTCCCTCCTTCTAAGAATAATTGCATAATATTCAGTATTGTCATATATGTTAAGGTGACGTTAAGATCTATTGCTTCATTAAAAAAATTGCTAGTATCCTTTGCCAGATGTTCTGCAGAATTGCAAGAACAGTTTGTTCCTTTGCTGCTTTAGTTTGCTAGTGACCTCTGTATTTTGGTTAGCTTGCTTAATGTTTCCTATTTCTTAAAATTAATGCAAGATCTTTTCTTAGAAGCTCTGTCACCTCTGTTACCTAAAGCAAGTCTTTGGAATTTGGGAAGGAGATAGGCCTGAGACTAAGATGAGCCTTTTGGTTGACCTGTAATTGAAAGATATACTTTTCTGAAATTCCTTGCTTGCAAACCTCCAGAGCAGCTGTTTTGGTGGGGGAAATGGGAATGCTGAGTTGGGTCTCTTAACATGATGAATAGTTTGGGAGAATTGGCCCATGGTCTCAGTGACTCTGTTGTGGTTTTGGTTGGCTGTTTGTTTTTTATTTCATTTTTGTTTTGTTTTTGTTTGGCTTTTTTTTTTTTGGGTCTGGGTGAGAAAACAGTGAGAAGAAAGCAAGTGTGTGATTGGCTTGCACAGTCATTATTCCAGAGTCAGTGTGGCTGTTTGTCTAACTGATGTTAGCAGCAAGTAGGAGTCTTACACCTGCAGCTGATGTTATGTTCCTTTCCTGCTTCCTGGTAGTGATTATGCACTTAGACCTTGATGCATGGTGACTGTGTTGCAGTTAGTCATAATGGGATCAATTTTCTTCTTAATTTAAAGAAACACAAATGAACTTCCACTTTACTGACTGCCATTAAAGTCCCTTGTGATGCTACTGTTAAAAACAAAACAAACAAATTAGCTGAGTTATTATTTCGTAAGCTTTGTAGGAAAAATATCAGTTTGCAAGATTATAAATCTTCAGTGTATTTTGATGTATTGTGATAGAGTTTGTGCTTTTATGAAAGGTTGTGGATTGTGGTGTATTTCCTCCAAGAAAATGATTTGATATGTGCATAAAATTATCTGAAAATGATAGTAGTTAGTTACAAATGCAGCCTTTATCTGGAATATTCTTTTCTGAATGCAGCCTTGACAGTATTCTGATGCTCTGTTTGTTGATGCAAAAATAGCCAGCCACTGCCTCCTGCCAAAATCCACTCCTTGGGACAGAAGCCATAAACATGGTGAGAAAAAAGCATTCAGTTTTGGAATAAGATATTAATCTTTTTGGAGTTCCTAGTGAAACCTGATTGTATACATCTTTTGTGCCTTTTTAACAGCTACTGTTTGACATGACTGGGGGAGAACAAAGCACCCAGTGCTATTTCTCTTTACCTTTGAAGCTAGATTAACATTCTTGGTGGAATTAAAAATCCCAACAATGTATTGTCTGAAATAAATGGGCAAACAATGTATACGGAAATGGTTGATCACATGTTTGTAAATGGCTGCTAAGTTTGAGAAGGAAAAGGTAAACCAAAGAACAACTTGTGTCACCTTCTGTAAGGGGACACATGTCTGATGTGTGAAGAGCTTTGTGCAGGTGGGTCTATAGACCTATGCACAGCTCATAATGGGATTCTCACAATTTAAAATGTAAACTCTTATTGGCAGGAGTGTTTCATTATCATTGTTGTGCATGGCTTTGTTATTTGTAGGCAAATTGTGAAGTTCCTTCATTGTGGTTCAGTGGATGTTACATTTTTGAGAAAGATTTGGTGTGATTCTCATGCTGTTCCCACATGCATTAGCTTTTTACCTGACAACTCTTGTGACTGGTTAGCATTTGTGCTTCCCAAATTGTGAAAAGGTGGTCCAAAACAAGCAGTGGAAGTTGGTATCAAGAAGCTGCTTATGGCATAGATTGTATACTTCAAGGAGTGGGGAGGACAGAGCTTTTAATGTGTGTTTTGTACACCGTGCCTTGCAGGCCAGAGTTTCATTGCCTACTAGAGCCAGCAGTGTGATTGCTACCAGTGCCTGCGGTGGCTTAAGG